TTATTCTTTATTCTTCATTTCCCTGTTATGGTTCCATAGTATAGAGGCTTTCTTTTCTAACTAATAATTAAATTTTTATTATAACTAACAACATTGATATTAGTGCATCATCAACTTCATCTGTAAATACATTTTTATGTAAGTTTAAAAGAATAGTAATAAAAATTATTTTTATCTGTATTATAATTTTTAAATTAAATTTAATTTTTTTATTTCAGATCAATATGAGGGTACAAACAGTTGCATTTGTTATGCTGTAGTTGTCCCACACCCAAGAGCTGTGCCATGTGCCCCCACATTGTGGGCCCACTAGGTGAAAGCACCCCAATCCCCCTCTTTCCTTCTCTGTCTGCCTCTCCCCAGCTTGAATTGAGTTTTTCTCATGTGGGCGTGTATTAGTTTGTCTAGTGGCATCATATTAGTGTTGAGTACATTGGATACCTGCTTTTCCATTCTTGTGATGCTTTACTAAGAAGAACCTGTTTTGACTCTATCCAGGTTAATATAAAAGATGTAAAGTCTCCAGCATTTTTGTGGCTGAGTAGTATTCCATGGTATACATATACCACAGTTTAGCAATCTGTTCCCGGGGTGATGGGCACTTAGGAATAAAATTTTTAAAAAACAAAATTGTTAGACAAATTAAGTATTTCTGTGTTTAAAATAGATCGAAGGTGTTTTTCATCTGTGTCTCTGTTCTTCTCACATTAAAGAATACCAGTGTGGCCATAGTGATTTTATTGTCATAGTTACCCTATGGTGTGTGTTTATATTTTTCATTGGAGATGGATAAAATACTGAGTAAAAGAATTTACTTTTAAAAACATTAGTTGGAGGCCAGGTGTGGTGGCTCATACCTATAAACCCAACACTCTGGGAGGATGAAGCTGGTGGGTCTCATGAGCTCATGAATTTGAGACCAGCCTAAGCAAGAGTAAGACCCCATCTCTAAAAAATAGCTGGGTTTTGTGTTGAGTGCCTCTAGTCCCAGGTACTTGGGAGGCTGAGGCAAGAGAATCGCTTGAGCCCAAGACTTTGAGGTTGCTGTGAGCTATGATGTAACAGCACTCTACCAGGGTCAAGAAACTGAGACTCTGTCTCAAAAAAAAAAAAAGAAAGAAAGAAAAAAAACCTTACTTGGGAAATACATATTTGATATGTTCAAATTAATTTTTGAACTTAAGGCTATTATAAACTATTGTGGTAAAGTATAGCCCATATTTATGATAATATAATATTTGTATTTGTTATTATGTAGAGATATATTTAATATGTAACCATTAGAAATATATTTTAATTGAAACATAGAATAGTTATAGTTTTGTGTATCTGGGATTAATTTTAAATATTTATCTCTCAGGAAAATATGAAACTTTTTGTTTTAGAGACTGTCTTAAGCTTACATTTAAGAAATTGTTTATTCAAATGATTTTAGGTGATAACTAAACTCAAAATTTTATCACCTTTGGAAATAATAATGTCAAATACTGCTTGTGTTGTGGGGAATTCAACCAAATTGTTTACTCTGATCACAGAAAATTTCAAGGTAAGTGATTTTTATTCTCAATAGTAACATTCAAGATCTAACCACTTTAAAATCTGCTTTGTAATGTCATTATAAAGAACAATAATTTTTTTTTTTTGGACACAGAGTCTCACTGTGTCATCCTCGGTAGAGTGCTATGGCATCACAGCTCACAGCAACCTCAAACTCTGGGCTTAAGCCATTCTCTTGGCTCAGCCCCCTGGGTAGCTGGGACTACAGGCACCTGCTGCAATGCCTGGCTATTTTTTGGTTGCAGTTGTCATTGTTGTTGAGCAGGCCTGGGTCTGGTTAGAACCCGCCATTCTCAGTGCATGTGGCCAGTGCCCTAACCACTTAGCTACTGGTGCCAAGCCAAAGAACAATAATTTGAGTAACTATGTTTAGCGCTGTAAAGTAGTCACTAAACACAAGTCTTAATCTAAGGGACTAATAAAAATAATGAAAATGGTAGGGAATTCACTTATTTGATTTGGCATCATTTACTACTTTAATCAAAAGAAAAAACGTTTTAGGCAATCGTTTCTCAGAGTAGACAGGGACAGTCCTTAGAGAGAGCATGTTTCCTTATGCCATAGGGAACAGCAGCTATCAGCAAGTACTTTTTCCTTCATGGAATTTAATGTGTGTTACAGAATTGTTTCTGCTTCCCCTTGTAACATTACTGCCTTACAATTAGCTTGTTATTCTAGTCTCCATCTGTTGGACTGTGACAGGGAAGTGCTGTGGAATCTTATCCAAAAATGTTCTCCCCTTCAGAAAGGGCTCTCCCACCTTAGTTTATTTCTCTCTCTAACAAAGCTCTCTGTTTGGTCAAATGAGGCTTGATTCCAAATCAAATAGCACTGCCACTGGAATCATTTCTTAAAAGTACAAATTATTTTCAGAATATACTGTATTTTATTATGTTTATAGACTTTTAACCCTTTTGGAACCAAGCTGACATTTGGAGTCCAACGTTCTGAATATATTCCTTCTTGTTCTGAATACAGTCATCATTTGCAGTCATGTGAGGTTGGTTGTGGTGCTCTTGGAGATCCCTTGTAGCTCAACTGTCTTTGACTTCTTTCCAGAAATGGTCACTATTGTAAATCTGTTGTCTCTTAGAGACAAGTTTCTTGTCTGTGCTGTTTCATTTATTATTTCATATATCTTTTCATCACCTTTATTTATGTGTATCTTTCCAGCTTTTTTGATTTTGTTGTTGTTCTGATTAGGCCTGCTAAGTATTTTGGTTGTAAATAGAGCCAATGTAACTAGCTTGAGCAGAGAAGGAAATTAATGGCTTATGTAACTGGGAAGTCAGTGGTTGGATAGATTCTGTCCATATTGTCAAAGGTAAACAAAGCCAAGCTCTTGTTGCAGTGATCAGGACAGATTTTGATCAGTAATGTGCTATTACAGTAGGGAAAAGAGTTGAATGTGAACAGAACTCAACTTTAAATTGTGTACAGGTGACTGGACATTTTAAGTGCAGAGTGAGGGAATAAGAAGGGGTGAGGGGTGACTCAGTTGAGTCAGTGAAGTAAAAAATTACAAAAAGTGAAAGGATGAGGTTGGTCCACGTGAAACCCATCTGGGTTTGCTGACCAACACTTAACCAAAATGAGGTCCTACCCTTCCACAGAGGATGGGTGACAGGAACCCTATCTTTAGATCTTGGCTGGATAAACAGTAAATTCTTTCCTTCTGTTTTTTTCTCTTCTCACAGCTTTGAGTTTTATTAGGCAGGCACTTTAAGAGTGTTTTTGATTATCCTAGGGATGTAGCTTTGCACAGTTAGAAACAATGTTAGTATTTTGTTCAAGTCTTTATAGGCCAAGGTTAAGGGCTACTTGAGAAGAAGGCTCAGAGGAGCCTGGGTAGAGTTTCATCAAGGAGAGAAACTTTGTCACTACCCTCATCCCCGGTATCATCTTCTTTCTACTGCAAATAGATTACTTCTTTTTTTTTTACAGTTTTTGGCCGGGGCTGGGTCTGAACCCGCTACCTCCGCTATATGGGGCCAGCCCCTACTCCTTGAGCCACAGGCACCACCCCAGATGGATTCTATTTAGGTTTAAGAAGATGATTGCTGATGGCATCAGGCTGATGGCATCTTAGTTTAGCTAATCCAGAGGAAAAAGAACTTTTTCTGTGTCTCTCTGGGAATTCCAGGAAAAGAAGCTTTTTTCATTTTTTTTTATTACAAAATATTAAAGGAGTACAAATGTTTTTGTTACATGGATACCTTATATAAGGCTTACGTCATTGTTCATTTTCTCACTATTTCTGGGGGCAAAGGCACTATGATTAACCTTGGGTCATGTGCTTTTTGCTGTGGGGCATAGAGCACTGTAATTGACAGGCCTATCAGAATCATGTGGTTTTTATTCTCAATAGTAACATTCAAGATCTAATCACTTTAAAGCCTGCTTTATAACATTATTATAAAGAGCAATAATTGGTGTAAGTTTATGTTTAGTCCTCCACAGACAAAGACAACATAATTTCAGTACATTTGAATAAGCTAACGTGGCACCGTGTTTAGTAATAGAGGAGACTGAAACAGACTGGCCTTCTTTCAAATCCTGACTCTACATCACCTTGTGAAAAGTACTTAACTGAAATCTTTGAGCTACAGTTTCTTCATCAGTGAATTAGGGACAATAATAGTACTTAGAGAATTGTTATTATACATAAGATAATCAGAGATGACCTCATCGATAAGGTTATACTTGGGCAAAGTCCTGAATGGAGTAGGGGAGCAAGCATAGCAGTATTTCATCTTAAAAACAAAGGGGAAAATTAATATTATTATCATTAGTATTATTATGATACTTACCACAGTGGCATGTGTCTGTAGTCCTAGCTACGTGGGAGGCTGAGGCAGGAATATCACTTAAGCCCAGAAGTTCAAGACCAGCCTGGGCAATATAGGAAGATGCTATGTCTAAAAAAAATCTTCACTAAATCAGAAGCAGTATGAAGCTGGAAGGAATATGGACTTAGAGTCAAAGAAATCTAAATTTGAGTTTCAGTTCTTTTACATAGCAAATGTCCATTATTAGAAAGTTGCTTTTTCAGAATTTTATTTATAGGAATATTAGGTTAGTAAGATTTACATCATAGTATTATTGTAGATATTAAGCAAGATAAATTTTAAAACAATCTTGGCACATAAATTTTCTACTTATTTTTTTTTTTACTCACCTGGTATTATATTACCTTTCTTACCTATTACTTTTGTTCAAAGTAGGTAAACCTTTTATTCGATAACTTTATGGGTTTTCTCTTTAAAAAGTTCTATTATCTATTTCTCCTTATTCTAAACAAGTCAAATTCACCTTATGAAAATAGCATTTCTTAGATTTGATAGGTAGAATTGGTGTTTCCATTTTTTCAACTATTGATTATAAAGATCTGCCCTTTCTCAATTATGATAGACTACGGAAGGATGAATGTAAAACCTGTGATGTTTTTTCTGTAGAATAAAATTACTGGAGGGCATAGACTGTCCATGTTTACTTTTTATTACTATTACCTAACATATTCGTTAAATTTCATGAGCGTAACCTCTAATAAGAGCTGTAGATTGTACTGTAATTCACTTAGGTGGATGGAAAGTCATTCTCTTTTTTATAAATAAGAAAAGTTCTTATTTGAACATTGAAAACATTGATAAACTTTATACAGTAATAAGCCACCTACCCATATACAGCATGTGTTTAAGAAAGCAGTTTTGATTGGGCTCATGGCACCTAAACATTTATTTTGAAATCAAAACTTTTTTCCAGAATGTTAATTTTACTACTATCCAAAGGAAATACTTCAATGAAACAAAAGGATTAGAATACATTGAACAGTTATGCTTAGCGGAATTCAGCCCTGTCCTAATGGAAGTTCAGTCCAAGTAAGTTATTACTTAAGAAATGTAATAAATCTCTTGTGTGACTTTCGTAAGGGCAGGGATTTTTGTCTATTTTGTTCTCTGCTGTATCCCTACCACCTATGAAAGTGCCTTGCTCATACAAAGGATGCTGTGGACTGTGTTTCTTGAGATGAAATAATGGACCATAACACAGTCTGTCTCAAAATTTTTGTAGTGACCCACATAGTACACACTTGGTAATTACTGAAATAGTAAAATAGTTAATTAAAATCAGTACATAAATTGTATATTGCTAATGTAATTTATATAGAATTCCTCCAATCTGTCATAACCAATTGCGCCTTACTTTGCTGCTCCCTTTATTTTGGTGTGCAAAGATCAAGCAGTTACAGTGAACCCCCAAATGTAAAGGCACATAAGTGAAACACAGGCAAAGCTGTGCTTCTGTTACTTCACACTTTTTCTCCTGAAAGACTCAGCATGAGACAGGGAATACTATTTCTGAAACAGGTGTTTTTTAGAACATAATAAATAGATGTTTTTTTGAACTGGATTATATCACGTGTTTACTCAGTTAATCATAATAGTTATTCTCACCAAGATCCACCAAGATCATAACATGTTTCCTTTTCTTTGTTTTTTTAATTAAATCATAGCTGTGTACATTAATGCAATCATGGGGTACAATGTTCTGGGTTTATATACAATTTGAAATGTTTTCATCAAACTGGTTAACATCGCCCTTGCAGTATTTTCTTAGTTATTGTGTTAAGACATTTATATTCTACACCGAGTAAATTTCACATGTACCCTTGTA